GGGTTGCGTGCGGAACTATCGCGTGGCAGAAATTATAAGAGAAAGAAGAAGGAAGTAATAAATTAGACGAGCTATATATGGGATACAATGTATACAATGGGTTCTTCTGTTAAACGTAGTAGGTGAGTATTTTTTATATTTTCTACAGTGACATTTTGTGTGTAAAATAATTGGATTTTGTATAGCAAGCGTGCTATATAGTAATTGAAGAAGAAAATTTATAAGCAAACGCACCTATGATTATAGTAATGTTACTTTTTTTGCATTAAACCCAAAAACGTTTTGTGTTCATTTTTATTACTAAAAATGTTTGCATTTGTAAACATTTGTACGATTAAGATTTTTTTTTATAATTAATGGAACAACGCATGGTGAAATTAATAGTAGTTTGTCTAGTCGATATGTCTAGTGGTTAAGGATGTATCACACGTACAATCTTAGACAAAAGTGCATGAAATTAGAAATACTTGAATATCTACGCCTAACGCATAGTAAATCTAGATGTAAGATACTCAAATGATAGTAGGAGTCTTATTTTTACTCCTAGAAAAGTATTTTTTACTTTATAAATGTTTTTTCCGTATTATTTGCGATTTTTGTAATTTATGAGCCTAAACTTTTGGCAGTAAAAATACCCTGATTTCAACTTTATAACGTCAAATTATTAATAAAATTAATAATTAATAATTAATAATTAATTATCATTAATTATTAATTTATTTCTTTAAAACGGTGTAGTGAAGACAATTGAAACTTGGCAGATATTTTCATCTATTCGTATACTAGATGTACAAAAAAATTCAAAATATTGGTAGCGCTCCTTCAACATTTTTTTAGCTGTTTTATCCGCCAAAATCGTCTCTTCCCATAAGAATACGTGTAAAATCAGTGAAAATTAAAATCGTTATATCTCAGCAACCGTTTAGTGGATTCGTTTCTACTTTTTTGTAGCACATCAGGAAGACTAAAAGAACATTCTCACAAATTTTTATCCACTTGGTAGCGCGTTGAAAATAGGTGCAATACATCCTTAAGATGAGAGAAACATATTGTATTCTCAACAAATAAAAATGTAATATATATGTAACAAAAATGAAAACAGTATCTAGTATGTACGGTATGTACCTATTTATTATTATGTTTATAATAATTTTATAATTACGTAGGCCCGTATTCTCAGTTCAAGCGCGCTTTTATTTCTGAGACGCTACAGTTTAAGTTACATATACTATAACATTTTAGTAATAAAAGCGCGTTTTTATCGATAAAAGTGAATTAAGAATACGGGCCATAATGTATTAAAGCAACATTTTGTGTGTTCTATAATAAATTAAACAATTGAAATTATGTAGGGTAGACCGGGGCACGTTGTCACACGGGGCACGTTGTCACATCGGCTTTATTTAAAAAACTAATAACCAGAGAGCAGTACCTGTCATTCCCAAAACGTGTTAGTGTATGCCCATCTTTGGTGTGTTTACAGTGTTGAGATTGCTCCAGCCGTGTTGACGTAAAATCAACTTGAAAATTTTTTGCGACCGTAAGTAAAATTTTATTGTCTAATATTCAACGTACTGGACATGAAGCTTATGTTTTTTCAGAATAGACCTTTATATTATTTTAAAGTATGTACTTTTACCTACCGCGTGCAATACCTAACCTTATGAATATCTCAAATCGGCCATGAGGCTGTTTGAAGTAAAAAAATGCCCTCGGGGCACGTTGTCACGAATTTGATGGGAATCTATTGCGAATCTTCGGATGACGATAACGAGTAAAAATATTTTATGTTTAATCACCGACATGATTATATAAAAAAAAATTGTGTATCAATAAGTTGCGCATTCGAGTGGAATTCTTGTATTTAGATTAAGACGAAAACCTCGTACTTTTTTGAAATAAAATAAATGTTTTTGTGAAGGATTTTACTTTTTTACATTGCAGCGCACTATAATATATTGATATTTACGTTGAATACAGTTTGGATAACATTTTGCATGCAATTACGTTGTCACAAGCGACCTGTCGTTATTTATTGTTATGTAACAACTGTAGAGTAACAATCACACAAAATTTGATACTGTCCAATTGAAGCTGAGGGTTCACTCGAAATTTTGGCATATCAAAGTACTCTTAAATATTGAATGTAAAAAATACAAAAAATATTGAACGAAATGTGTGACAACGTGCCCCGGTCTACCCTATATCACAAGCCGCGTGCGCATATCGCTATCCGCCAATAGTAAAAAAGATGCAGCTTAATTGTAACATAATAAAATTAAATTAACTTCATGTTAAATCGATTTTAGATTGAGTAAAGGAGATTAATACAACTAACTTAAGGAATTTTTTTATTTTGAAATGTAGGTCAATTAATATTTATTAATTTGTGAAAAAAATTGTAAGTACATCCCACATTTTTGTGCTAACAATACCCCACAAGATCTTCTATTATAAAATATAATAATTTTGATGTAAATGAAAGTTGGAGAAATTTATGCAGATTTAAAATTTAATTCTTGACTCCACTGTCCACCACAAATATCATTCGCAACGTCATTAAATAAGAAAAAACTGTTGATACATACTGAAATATATAAAATAATAATATTAATGTGTATTTCTTGACTTTATGTGGAAAATATATAGAAAATATACACAAATTTTATAAAAAATTTTCGTATTTGAATTAAAATCATCAAGAGTATTAATGTCGGTGTGCATACACTCAAATAATCAAATTTTTCTTACAACATTAAAGAAGTGTATATGTTTCGTATATACAAATAATAATATAATGACGTTATGATGTTATGTAAAAGAGGGAATAAAAAGACTTGGGAAATTGTGTCATAGATTGACATAGATGAAAGTTCTTTATACACGGAGATACTGGACAGTACTAATGCTCTTGATTTTATATTCATACATTCTTTATATATTTTTAATAAATGCATTTTTCTTATTATGTAAAAAGATATATTTGGGCAGAAAGTGTTTATTTATGTCAATATTATATTAATATATAATTTGCGTTTATGTATTAAAAAATCTTTTTTTAATAAAGCTCCAATCCATTTTTAATAAACGTCCTTGATATTATTTTATGCGTATAAATACATTATATAATTCAGTTTTTATTAAAATGTTCATATGTAATTTAATAAAACTTATAATATCTTTTACGGACATTATACAAGAAACATAACATTTACAAAATTTTGATTACTTGCAGTGTGGAAAATTATACCGGTATAAAATATTAATTGTATAAAAAGAATTTTTTAATGTTTGAAATCTTACCGACGCATAATATTGTAATGATAAAGCTGGAAGGAAAGAAACAGAGATGGTGGTTGGCGTTTGACTCCTTAGCAAGATAAAACATAAATTTTTTTGAAAAGCCTTGTCTTGATTGTACCACAGCGATTCGTAAATTGCTTGCGCAACATTGGTGCTCTAATAAATAATATGTAAATTTTAGAATAATATAGTCAAAACATAATATAATTTAAAAAAAGTAAAAATAAAACATTTTAGATAAAATTTAATAAAGAGAATTGTCATTTTTTATTGTGAAAAAATGTTTGACCGATATTCAGAAGTACCTACTTTTAAATTTTAAAACGCAAACAGTTCTAAACACATTTAATTTCAATTTAACACAATAAATTTAACATACTTAAAAGGATTTCTTTTATAAGATTACAAGATTTTATTAGATATTAAAAGATTACTTTTATATAAAGGATAGAGGGGATAGAAAATCGGGATTCAATAACGGATACTAATATTTCTAAAATAAATAATAAATATTGAGTATTGAGAATTGAGAATTGAGAATTGAGAATTGAGTTGTCAGGTTTTAAATCGTTTCTTAAATTATGTTTATATTTGGTGAAGAAACGATTAATAATTATTAATAATTAAAATAAAAATAAAGAATTTACTTATGCGCAATTGATTGTGAGAGGAAAAAATTAACAGTTGTATATGATAAATGATATCCGGAACTTAATAATACTAGTATATAATACACATTTAAATTATGCCGATTCGCAAATGTTATTGGAATACAACTTACCGCAACTATTAAATGATCGGCTGGCCAAGCACATGCATAAACTTCCATAAGTCCAGCTATGCATAGAATCATGAATTGTACCTTGTCCGTTAACGTACTTTGCTAAATATATAATAATACTAAGATAAATAAAATGCACATGCAAACACATTCATATATGCAATTTTTTTTCCAGTAGAATTGCCGTTTTATCACAAAACAATATAATAAATAATGCAAAATAAATACTTACGCTTACAATTGTTAGGCCACTAGCCACAATCACCCACGTACAAACAATTATTATTGATAATATCACTGAACGAAAAGCAATTATTACTTCTTGAGCATATCTGAAACGACTTGTTATCTAAATAAGTTGAAAACATCGCAGTATGCGTCGTTTGTGTCTGTAAAGCGCTTGTACTTGTCTTATATTACAATTAAAACTTTTTGCATTATAAATTGTTTTACATTTTGCATTACAAATTACAAGCAATAATAATAATCTTTATTGTTTCTTCCCTTAGCATATTTTTTGCTTGTTTATTTAGTATCTATATACAGATACATATTATCTTTATAATATTTTAATTTTATTCTTAAAATGTAAAACTGACTTAAAATTATAAAAAGTTTGTAGTTGCACATTGCAAATTGCATATTTTCTTTAAAAACAATTTTGTGTTATTTCACATCAAATAATTTATCTTATTATTCTAGGCAAATTAATTATAAAATTTTTTAATTACAAATTTTACTATTAAAATACTTAAAATACATGGTGTGTCAGGAAAGTAATGAGAATGATTTTTTTACGCTTTCCAGGAGGGTTACATGAGGAAAGTGGGAATCGTGGTAGTTGAGGGGGAATCTCAGGTATATGGTCGGACCCATGATGTAAATAAAGGGCTCGAGCTCAACTGACTAGGGTCCGACCGTATACATTTGAGATTCCCCCTCAACTACCTTCGACCTCCACTTTTCTCACGCAGCCCTCTTAGGGAGCGTAAAAAAATCATTCTCATTACTTTCCGGACACGCCATGTATGTTTAGATATAATTCCAGTTTTCAATCTGGTTGAGATAAAATTTTGTGAATGTATTTTTTAAAAGTGCATAGTTTTGCGACATTTTGCAAAGTAATGATGTTGGTAGAAATTAGTCTGCTAGATTCGATATCGCATGGGAAACATGAAATGACGATTCGTCAATTTGCTTAATTGTGAAAAACATGTAGAATTTTGCACAGGGCGGTAAGTGGTGTAGATAGCTTCGTGCGAGAAACATGATGTGCTAATTATAAGTGCTGTATCTCTATCAAGAAAATACACACTAAATAAAAATAATTATATTTTTATTAGAGAATAATGATTATTAATTTTTATAAATTATAAAATGCATTGTTCTCTATTACCTCAACAATTTCACGTGCTGCCGTACACACACGGTGATGCCGTAGATGTCGGTGACCGTACGAAACTGTTGCGACAAGATTTCGAAACGCGCCGCGGCAAACCATATGAGAAGACCGACAAAGCTACAATGGCAAACGATGGAGAAACACTGCCAAACAGCGACGAACTGATGCAAAAAGATAATAGTCTTCACCGGTTCACGTTCCACGTCGAAAGGATACTTTGCATCTGTCGGAAAGATCTGATTGGCCGCTATCAGCGGTGTGATTCCTGCTATAAACGCGCCGAGAAAGACTGCCGCTGTGGAGCTCGCGTAAAACATCGCGCATCTATCGACGTACTGTTGGTAGAGCATTTCCTCGTACGGTTTCGCGTATTCAAAATTATGCTCCATTTCCGAAATCAAATACTGAAATTTAATTCAATCTTTTAGCTGGTAATATTCTAGGTAGTTTATATTCTTGAGTTACAAATAAATAAAATAAAATCTATAGTTAAATTAGATATGTCGTCTTCCAAATAGATAATAATTTTTGCGAAGATATATAGTCTTGTTCCGGAATTACTGATAAACGAAGCTGATATAAAAGTTATTTCTAGAATATTTATACAGCGTATAAAATAATATTATAAATAAATATTTGAGTTATTAATATTAATATCTGGATAGAAATGAAACGAAAGAGATTGAAAATGTTTTATCAAAGGTCGGTCTTATATCGTTATAGACATGAATTTCTTACTTGCAGTCGATCATATTGCAGTGCGCATTGTGTTATCTCCAGAGGGATTTGTATAAAGGCACCCAGTAAGCACCATATCTTCGTTATCTTTGGTAGATCGTAGTCATTGTGATAAAGGGTGTACGATACAGGCACAATCAATATCACCGCATTCACGCAGAGTAAAGAGCGTAGAATTTTAAAGCGTATTACTTGAAATTTACTGGCGCTCTTTGAAAGTGGCCACGTAAAGGACAAGGCGATTATCACTTTTGTAAACGCGATAGCAGTTTTCGGGGTTACTTTGCTCGCCATAATTAGATCGACGCGAATGCATCGATATAATATAATATAATGTACAATAATAATTTCAAGGTCTATATTCGTTTATGACGATACTCTCGCGCTACATTGTTTCGAATAAAGTGTTATAGACTTTTTTCTCCGGTCCATCACGCGTAAATATTTGATGCATGATAGCGTAATCAAATATACATCTTATAATGTATGCATGAGCAATACTGTAGAAGATTGATATATAGACTATATAATTTACATGTAGAACGTTACTCGAATGTTATCACGGGTGCTGTGAATATAGCAGTTTATAATAGTTCTATGGAAGAAATTTCGTAAACCTAATGTATATATAATACTTCAGGGAAGCCTATAGCAAGATTCTCATATTTGTGGTAAATTGCTACATATGATGATAATAAACTACTAAATTTTCAATATGCAATTTTACCTAGGAAGCCAAATAATAAAAATTATCAATAGCACGAAGAATACCTTTAGTATTGTACATATCATCGTTCTGTGAAGATGTTTATAATATTTGTAGACATTATTAGTGTTGATAGATTTTTTATAAATAATTTTCTTACAGGAATTTTAAAAACTGTTTTGCATTGTTTGTTTAATTCGGATTTAACATGAATTTTTTTTATTAAGCGGTCTGATAAATCATGGCATACTTTCTTTGTAAACTTTTTGAATTTTTGCAATATCTTTAAAATTGAAGAAAATGTAGTACACGAAAGTGTGCTGTGACGTCATACTTTATATAAGAAATGACGTTATACCTTTTGAAGTTGCCGTCGTTAAAGAAACTTTAGCAAGCTATAACTTTCTCAAATTTAGGTTTTTTTTTTTAATTAAAAAAGTACTAAAAATTGGCTTAGATTCTCTACATTAATTATGGATACCGCTTAATAAAAAAAATGTTAAAACCGAATCGTGTCATTTTCTTCAAGAAATTCAGCATACAATATATGAATAAAAGGCAAATATTTTTGATAGACTACATCGCATGACTACTTAAAGAAGATAATTAAGAAGGTAATAAAATGTGGATATAAATGTATGATAATTTTTTTTAGTTACATAGTACTAATTACCATTAGAATTTGAGTTATTTTATTGCTTTTTGTAATTTACTTTATTATAATATTACATATTTACATATATTCAAAATTGTGTATTTCGACTATATGCAACATTGTTGCTTATATTTAATTATTATAATCATCTGTCATATATTACTCGCAGTGTTGTGAAATAGGAGTATGAAGTCGAAAGGTACTGTAACATATAAAAATAAATATATAGTTAAGTTTGTCTTTATATTATTTTATATTAATACAAAAGTAATAAAAAAGTAAATTTTTGATAATTAAAAATTTTTGATAATTAAAACTTTTTCTCTAAATTTTACTTTGTACATATTTTGTTTTATTATTATTATTATTATTAATATATCGGTCTTATATATATGGAAAGAACAAAAAAATATTTCTAAAATATAGTTTTGTTAGGAGTTACAACTTCACATATTTTTTATTCTCTGCTCTTATATTATTTACCACATTTTATTTTATAAAATTTCTGTTTACTGTATGTTATATTTGCGTGACTATTTAATTAATTATACATGGAATAAAAAAGTTTAATAAAGTGATAATACAAATGGAAATAATGAGATGTGTGTGTGTGTGTGTGTGTGTATGTGTGTGTGTAAAAAGAAGAAATGGCAACAAGAAAAAATAAAGACTAAAGAATAAGGAAGACTGACAGTAATATTATCCAAATGTTTTTAAAAATAAAAAAGTGGTATGTGTAATTATATACATATATGTGATATATGAGATGTAATACATGTATAGTAATATATTTTTTATGACTTTAGAATTTAAACCATTAATAATAATAAAAATAATTATACTGATAAAACATTATAATACTGACAATTAATTATTGTAAAATTACATATATGTATAAAAGTACATAAAGAACATATATATTGATAAAATTTGTAAAGATATATGTACAAATAGAATTACGTGATGATGCCAAATAATTAATATAAATGATTGTTGACAATCAATCAATTTTTTTTAACTAATTTGAAACTTGATCTTACCGATCTAAAGTACTTAAGAGATAATGTGGGCAGTAAACAAGGTATTGAAATCTTTACTGGTTTTTGACTTCTCATTATAATAATTTGCAGACATTTCCATATCTTAACTAGATTAATTAAATGACTGTTTTCAAGTATACTGAACGCTGCTTGTGCGACGTTGTGGCACTGCGGAAAAAGTAACAATTATTTAAAAAAATAAAATTAATATTAATAGAATATATTTAAATGACAAATAATTTACCATAAACATCAAATGTTCTGCTGGCCAAGTATACATAAATACTTCCAATATACATGTTACAGATAATCCGAAACACAGGAATGTTATTGCTACAGGCTGTTTCTATTTAAAAGAATTTATATATATGATTTCCAAATTGACATTCCTATACTAAAATTTTTCGATGTAATCAAAGTTATTTTTTTTTGCATATAGTACATGAAGGATATAACGATACAATGATACATATTACGTATACGTAATATCCATACGATTATCCTTGATTTTTTATGTGTATTTGATGATTGTGATGTTTATATATTTATGCATAATATTAGTAGAAAAAAATATACGAATACTAGAGCTGTATAATATGTGTTACGTATTTACTTACCGTAACGAACAAAAGAAAAATTATTATTACACTAATCGAGCTACAATATACAGATGTAAATGCAAAAGGACGTACAACAAGAGCAACTTCTTTTGAATACCTAAATCCATTACAAGTCGAAATTTATGTAATTAGAATTCTTTTAACTAGAACTAGATCATTCCCATGTAGAATAAGAATTGCAATATTTACTCGAGTAATTCTTGATGTTTTTTAATACATTTGTACAGTTGATTAATATTTGTGGCTTTCCCCAGCTCCACACTTAGTATTTCAAATCTTGCCGTTGCAAACCAGAGCAATAGAGCCATAAAAACATTTGTACATAGTTGTCCCGTTAGCAGTATTCCGCACGCAGATTGTTGTATATAGATTACTGTTTTCAGCGGTTGATAAGACACATCAAATGGATATTCGGCTAATGTTGGAAATGTCTGTTCCGTTACTAATGGAATTGCAATCGCAAAGAACATAGCGACGTAGAAAGTAAATATAGATGCACCATAGAATACCACACATTTGTCAATGTATCGTTGAATCAAAACTTCTTCATGTGGTTTCATTAAGCCGCTAAAATTTACCATTTTGAAAGTAACATTCTATAATAAAATACATTCTATAATTATTTGAAATAATTATTGATATAGAGAATATATATAGGAATAAAACATGAGTCTTTCGACGGAAAAATTGATTTTTCAATGTTATAGATAATTATTAATTACCTGTATGTGATGGTGATTAATTATATGGATAAAAAAGTTAAAACTTCCGTGAATAAGGCCGACTGTTATAGGAATTAGATTTACAAAGATTTCTGGTTCGTCAAAATGATTTGTGATAGCATATATCAACGGTGCCGCTAGGCATATCGTTATAATTATGCACAAACAGTGATGCAATTTCACACAGAGCATCTTAAACTGTGTCGCATCTTGTGGCTGAGGCCAACACCAAATTGGGAACAAACTTAACTTCACCACCGAGATTACTTCCTTCAGCGTCACCTTTTTTTCGCACAGCAATGTGTTATGGATGTATGAGAAATAAAAATATTTACGCGAGTAATTATAAAACGGATGCTTTACATATTTGCTACAGTATTACCATCAACATATAGTAAGTACTGGACGGAGCATGGAACCGATACCGTCTTGAGAGACGTAGAACGAGGCAAGACGATGTGTAGATAGTAGCGGCTCATTGAGTTACGGAGCTATAACTTAGATAGCAGAAGCAGAGTGATCTCAAATAACGTATTAATAACGTCTTAATGACGTTATTTAACGTCTCATTAAGATGTTATTAATGCATCAAATAATGTATTAATAACGTCTTAATGACGTTTCTAATGCCAATAATATATCAGTTAAGAAGTCTTTAGACGTCATCTTGTTACTCCTGGGGAGGCAGAGGCCGCCGTACTTAAAAATTGTATACATAGCAAATACATTAAAGATGTTCCCAACTTACATACGGTACTGTTCCCTTTCTCTTTTGATAAAATTCAACTAATAAAAACAGAGTAGAAGGATCCGTGCTCACACATCTACTTCTCTCTTTCTAGGTCCCTCAAGACGAAAGATCAAAGAAATTTTGCCGCATGCTCCGTCCAGTATATGTTGATATACTATATGTTGATATACTATATGTTGATATGTTGATATACTATATGTTGATGAGTACTACTATGAAAGAGTATAGCAAAGGAGAATTATACTATATAAGAGAATATAAATTTTTGTATATATATTTTTTTTTTTTTTTTTTTATGGGGGTTTATATAATCAAAATTATCATGAAGCATACACTCATGACATAGAAATAGATAATCATGTGTAGGTATATATTTGAATTTAATAAGCGTTTTTTGTCTGTAAAGAGATAAAAAATATGCATGTATACAGAGTAAGATTTATCTATTCTCTAATTTTCAGAATATATTAATGTATCAATGGTGCATATTCTAATAGATGTCGTAACAAAAGTAAAAAATGAATTAAAGAAAGAGATTTCTATATAACATCCCGGAGATACGCTATGCATATTATTTATTTACTTTCTAGATATTGCAGATAAACAATGTATACATTATTTTGGTTTTTCGATTATTTTGTATAACATAATTTTGTATTGCTAGATAAATTGCAGTAAGATATTTTGATTTATAGATCCGGGAATAATTTTTTATGTATAATTATATATAAAAATTATATATAAAATTTAATATAAAAAAGTTTTTTGCAGGGAGTTTAACTCTTTTAGTAGCATTTTCTCTTCATTTACGCTACAATAATTTTATCGATGCATATCCCTCCTGCGATAGGAGAGAGAAGTATGCGAGAAGTAACATATGGTTCACTGAAATAATATACAACGGTTTTAAAAACATAGACTTCAAACTCACGCAACCTTTGTATGTCGTAATTTTGAGAAAACGAAAGTTGTAATGTTCTGCATTATAGAAATAGGTAAAACGATGCAATAGGCTATAGATATAGCAAATCTGTTACAAAAACGTAACGTTATCTCTATAATGTGAAAATTTCCCACTCTTCGTTTAGTTTTAAAAAACTGATATTCAAGGGATTAGTTTTTTCTGTCGTATACTACGAAGATATTCATTTGCAGTTGCACTCTTCGTCCTTTTTGAACTTCTGAATTGAGGTAAAGTTTTGTGCTAAATTATGCAATATAACATAATATATAACGATAATTGTAAAAAATATGATTTTAATTTAACAAAATTCACTGAGATTCAATTTTGCCAAATTTTTGCCGAAAAAGTTACACAAGCAACGTAATACACGTAACATATGTAACGTTCACGTAGCGTATTGATAAGGAACTATGTGAACGTTATACTTTACTTATACATACTTATTGCCGACGTATTAATACCATCTGTAGACCGTATTAAATATTTGATATGTAATGATAAAGATTGTTCCTCATATTAATGAAACAATTATTCTAATGAGTGTCAAAAGAAAAATGCGTATTCAGGACATCTGTTATGCCGCATAATAACTTTACTAATTTGTACAGTTATTTAGCTTCCTTTAAATGATATTCGCATTAATTGTGTTCTTATCTTAATAGTCTTTAATATTAATTTAATTAGTCACTAAAAGTGCTTTTGTCATTTTTTGTCATTAGGTCATTTCTTCGACTATAGAAGTACTTCTATAGGCAAAAAATTACACATAATGTTACATAACATGTGAAGATTGAGAGAATTAATTTATTCAGAGTTATTTATACGATGGAAAAAAAATTATTATCATCATATTTATACAATGCACAATACTATTAACAATGTGCTGTATATGTAATACTCACTGTAATAAAAATTAGATGACCTATTATTAATGCTAAAGTACTGAGACTTATGGTTAACAATGCAAAGGGACGAACTACAGCTTGGATATGAAAAAACTAAAAGGTAAGAAAATTAATGCAACATACTTACAAAATTTTTAACTAATTATAATATTGTTATATATAATTGTAGCAACTTTTGAATTTATTGTGACATCTATGACATGTAATGTGACATAACGCAATAATGAAACAAATATTGATTATTAGCTATTTAATACATATAATTGCTCGCATATTTTCCAAATTTATCGGCAGCACATGTCCTTGCTCGCTTCATCCATTTCAGACATTTTGCATGGCTACTCGTAGTGTCGTGAAATAGGAAAATATAGTTGACAAATACTGTAACATATGTAATATTTGTATGTACTGAAATATTTCAGCTAATGTATTAGTTTATTCTGAAATGTGTATGGTAAAGTGCTTATATAAAAATTGAAATTGGTAAAATAATGCTTGTCGTGCATTTGATTTGATAAACCACGGTATATACATAGTAACGACAGAGTGAAAGTTTTTAGTGCATGGGTTCCAATTCCGTACAACCAGGAATACGGCGGCCTGTATGTATGACAAAGAGAAACATACTTCTCTCTCTATTTCTCTTAAACATTCATACAATCAGGAAGATGGTGGCGAGTCATGTGTGACCTGGCAACTACTACATCAAAGGTGCCGACGCTCACTGTCGCTACTGTATATACTGTGACTAAACTATATTGTCCTTTCTACGTATATTTGATTGTATATTAATGATGTGTTTCTAATATGTATTGCAATTGCTGTGCATGTTTAATATCGCAACACAATTAGGCTTAATTTCTTACCGATGCATAGTATTTTAAAGATAATGCGGGCATAACACACGGTACTGAGACAGTTACTGGTTTTTGAGCTCTTAACATGACTATGTGTAGAGCCTTTCGTAAAGCGATTGGTTGTTGGTACCATTCCGTATAAAAAACTGCCTGTTCGATCTCATCACTCTAGAAACGGTATTAGATAATAGTGTTAATTTATTGCAATTGATCAATCAAAATGAAGCAACTGTTTCTGTGATAACAGCTGACTTACTGTATGAATCAAATGTTCTGCTGGCCACGTATACATAAATACCACTGACAATCCACTAAAAATTATACCAACACATTGGATTTTCATTAATAACGGTTGATCCTATTTAAGATACAATATGAATTATTTAATGCATATTTAAGAATTTTAAAAATATGAAAGAGATATTATTTTTTTCAGATCGCTTTGTTATGCTTGTATGTCATGTTCGTCACATTCATGTGGAATTTAATTTTAGTGTTATAATAAGTACAAATTATTATTATTATTCAGAATTTATAATCGATAAATTTTAAAGGAAATTTTTATATTTATATAGAAGATTAAATCAAATATACATTTGTATATAAATGTACTCATAATATTATACACATATCAGAATACACTCACGTGCACGCGCATGCACACATATTGACATAAGTATCACGTTCTATGTATCGTATTTAAAAATTCTACAAACATTCTTGTTTCTTAACATGCTTTAAATGTTTTAATTAAAAAGATGGGGCATGTATACTTTCAGATATTAATCGAATCTGCGAACATACTACTGAACTAAAGCAGCCACTTGGTACTCACAGCTAACATAATAAGGCCCACTATTATTAATGCGATAGTACTAAACCATACAGATGTTAATGCAAAGGGGCGAACTAAGATGACCACTTCTTCCGTATACCTGATATAATGATTATGTTGTGTAAATGATAATGTTACTAATCGTTAATATTTCTTTGTATAAATTAACATATATAACAAAAATTTCTAATCTAATGATATTATAGAAAAGATTATTTAATATAATTTTAAACAATTGTTTTAAAAAAGTTGTATGACTATTATGATCTGTATAATTATGATTATAATACAATAAATAATAATAAAATAATCTTATGAAACGTCATTAATACAAAAGTTAATTCTAACATCTATTAAAATGTTAATATGAGTAATGAATTTTTTTGTAGCAACACAAAAACTGTAAGACATATATGTTTGTAAATATTTACGAGATTGCAACTCTGCATGAATGCATAGTACATCAACAAAGATTAGAATTATAAAAATGTTATGCGGGAAATGGAACAAAATTCTAACTTTAAAGATAATACAATAGTATCTTACTTTAATAGATTCTGATGTTCTCGAATGCATTTCTTTAATTCAGAGTTGTTTGTAATTTCTTGCAGCTTTTCGACTAGTATTTCAAATCTTGCCGACGAAAACCATAATAAGAGCGCCATAAAAATATTCATACACAATTGAGCAGCACCTTGCAAACAAGCTATAGTCTGTTGTATAAAGATAATAGATTTTATAGGTTGACGATAAATATTGAATGGATATTCGGCGTTTGTCGGAAACGGTTGATCTAGCGTAATAGGTCCAAATATGATGAAAAGGCAACTCAGATAAATCCAAAATATAGATCCGCCATAGAAATAAACGCATTTATCGATATATCGTTGAACGACTGCTTCTTCGCGAGGCTTAAGTAATTCGCAGAAACTTTCCATTTCGAAAGTAACCAACTGGAATCGATTATATGTATCTTAATATAAATTTACAAAGATAAAACGCATAGAATGGTAAATTTTGCTTGCTTTTACTCTTACGTAACCATTAAATGTATTGATATTAATTACTTGTAAACGATAAGAATTAATTTTACAGCACACAATATTGCAAATAACTTGTACAGCTGGGCACAGAACGCTTATCGATTTTGCCATAACGACAGGATCATCAAAATGGTTTCGCACCGCATTGATTAAACCTGCAGCTACGCTACCGGTCACAATTAGGCAAAAGCACTGATATATTCCTGCACAAATAACTTTCAATTTAATTGTGTCTTTTGGGAGAGGCCAACACCAAGTTATGAACAAACTTAATTTTACAATGGCGATGATTTTCTTTAATGTCAACTTTGACCACATTATTAAAATAATAAATGCACATACATGCACACGTATTGCTATATATACTAAAAGACGACTTAAAAAGTTACAACGGGGAGAAACGGATATATAAGGAAAATTTTAACACAAATGGTTATGCGTTCTCATCACTTCTGTTTTACATCGACTATACATCCGCAATGAAATTCTCATAAAATGAGCAATAAAGATGTGTACGTATAACGTAAAAAGTAAGACTCATATTCCACCAATATCTATTTTTAACATAAATTGCGGAAGTGGCATAAGGGATGTTATTAATTTACTACATAATTTGAAATTTTCTTTCTTTGTATTTTCCTTGAAACCATAAAAACCGAAGCTTTTAGAAGAACATTTTCTATCCATAATAAGCGTGAATACGCGTGGTGAATACGCATATTATGAAAGTGCGCTGTAATTGAGGAATCATTTTACAGCAATTACTTTATAACTTATTCAACACACGTACGATGAATTTCCTGACGCAACCTTATAGTTTCATTGAAAATTTCCTTGAAAATGGAGATCTTTTGTTATACTGCGAGTATTGCAATTGAGCATGCTAGTGAGTATTGAATTTAATATTATCTTTACCTATTAATATGTACTCGTTTTTATTTTTATTTCTAGAAATTAAGGATCTAAAAAGGCTAAATTTTGATCTTTTTGAATTGCTTTTGAATTTGTTATATATTAAATATTTATTATTTTATAACATTGTGAGCTATGTGAAGATATCATACACATGAGCTACATAACTAAAATTAAAACATTTGTGTGTAAAGAAAATAAGTATAAGGAAGTATAACATGTTAGGTATATCGAAATAATATATGATAGGTTTAAGAATATGATATTCTACTCAATTTTTATGTGACATAATTTTAAGAAACAAAAGATTTAATATTCTACAATTCTACAATACAGATAAATGCAGTGTTGTAGCAATAGTTATGTATCAACAAGAATATTCATCATACACGACGGAACATATTTAAACAGAAAAGATTATGTTGAAAGATTACAAGAATCAGATATATTGGAGATATAAGGTAAGTAAATTTTTATTTTCTAATTCTGGCAAATAAAACGGACATATTTTATATAGTAATATAGTAAAATGTTTATATTGCTATTTTTAAATAATTTACATGTATTGTTGTATGTATATGTATACCAGCATAAGTACTATGATACTTTTTTAATATATTATTTAAAATTTTTATGTATAATATATTATAATATATAGATTGTATCTT